CTTAAATTTGATTTGCCATTACTATGCATAGATATGTCATCATGTTAGAATGTCCTCTTCTGGAGAGATTTCTGCCACAATACTGGAACTGGAATATAGCTCATATGAAGTTTATTATGGCATCAAGAAATTGAAGGGAAGTGCTTTTTAGAACCCTACCAAAGTTGATTTTGAACCATGTTTGCTTTTAAATATTGTCAATGAAACCAGCATAAATATATACATATTTAAGTATCAAATGCTTTATGTAAAACTGATAATCTGCATTTCTACATCATGTCATACCACAGCGATGCAAAAATATTATTGATAGATGTAATTAGTATTTGTTACCAAAATACAGGTAAGTGCTATCACGTCTGGAATACATGTAGCTGCTGGGTTACCAAAAAGTTACTGCAGCTTGTGATTTTAGCTAGCCTTTTAGTTGGTAGTTTAAACGTGAACTTGTGGAGTATATATGGGTACATCATTAATTAATCTGGTTTCAAGTGATTGAAATAGCATAACCAAAGGAGAATTGTTCAGAAACATTTTGGCATCTAAAATCACAAAATATCTATTCAATAATAATTCTGGTACTTCATTATTGGCCATAGTGTATTGCAAGAGGAAAAATGCTATCACAAATACAAAAACACTCCTCTAGATACTGAGAATTTCTATATGGCAGCATTTAATACCAGTTATAAACATTCTGCCTGTTTGGAATGTCAGTGATATAGACTTTCTGTAGGAACAAACAACACTTACTTTGGGTCTGCATTTAGCAAACCTTAGCCTGGATAACACCTACAGATATGCTATCTTAAAGAGGAAAACATTTAACAGGTGGTTTAGTGGTGTATTTATTTGAGAAAAGTTCTGGGGAGAAACAGTCTTCAAAAGCCTTGCATGTTCTCACAGACAAGAAGTGGTTAAACTAGTTAGAGAAAACAAACAAAAAAAAGAACTATAAAATTTTTTCCCAGGTGCAAAAGCCTTTTAAGTTTTGCAAAGACAGCAAGGAGGGTATTTTTACTTGTTTCCAACGCAAGAATGGAAGGGTTTGCTATGTAAGCCCTTTCTAGCTGGGCAACTCTATTAACAATATTACTATGCAAAAGGCATTTGTTTACTTTGCTGGTGTTGATCTCTTTTCTTTTGTATTTGTTTTTTTTTTTTTTTTCCTAGGGTGATGGGGTTGAAGCAACAGGATGAGAGATCTCAAGCATGTTGCTAAATATTTTAGTCTGACAAAACTGTACGGCTTCCTTTATCAAGACAGCTGTGTTTTTACATAAATAATCTTAATTTGGCCTGCTTAAGGATTATGCCTTGTACCCAAGTGCACAACCTTGAAAGGTCACCTTGACTTCCCCAAGGAGTTTACTTGGAGGCATTCAGGATGCCAGTCCAGAAAGCCTCACAGATTGAGGTATGTTCTTATTTCCTACTTAAAAGGATGGTCCTGGAATGAAAAGGACATCTTCCAAAATAGCAAAAAAAGTTATTTGCCTGTCACAGAATCACTTTGAAAGAAAAACTGCTGAATGTGCTGCTTCATTTTGACAGGCATACCTGGTATGTATCCCAAGGAATAGTTAAACTTTCTTAAATTCTTAAATTAGGCTCCCATTAAGCAGATTTTTATCTTTGTTAACTGGCTTCCCATTGTTCACAGGAGCAAGATAAGGCTGGGACAATGAGTAATTCACAGTAGTTATATGTACAACACCACAATTTGCAGCAATTAAAGAAATTGGTATTTTATTTTAATTACCATGTATTATAGGTAATTTGGCCAATGCTCAAAAAAAATCATTCTTAGGAATGTCAAAGATGAAGATACTGCCCTGTTTATTAAAAATCAATGCCATTAATATAATTATTTTATACTTTCATACCAAGCTCTATATTCACCACATAATACAAAAAGGGGATATTTATGAGAGGAATGGATCTATTGCTATTTATGGAAATATATGCTTTTCTTTGTGCTTCTGTGCCAGGCAATATCTGTAGATAACCTTTCATGTCATGAAAATTTTGATGTTCTCTTAGATCTAAATGCTGAAAAATTAATTAAATATGCTCCTGTGCCCTCTAACTACAGACTTCCATGTCCTGTGATTTGACTAGGTAAGATGCTCACAAATCATATGCTTCAGTGGTAGAATTCACAGCTGATCATGAGATCAGCAGTATTGAGGCTTTTATCCAATTTGGAACCTGGCTGAGGCTGAGGCTTTAACTTCACAGTGAAGGGTGCCAAAACGCGTGAAAGTTGGACATGTTTTTAATTTAGTGACCTTAGCAGGATGGAGAGGCTCACAGTAACCCATTCAAGTTTTCTTATTTCCAAGTTGAGATTGAATATGGGTGTAGTGAATTAAACAAAGACAAGCCATGTCCCAATTTTTTTTTATTTCCAGTTGTTTGGCTTGGTTTTTGTATACTGCCCAAAATAGTATTTGGACACTAAAGCAGTAGTTTTGAAACCTTCTAGTCTGGGTATTTTTTTTTTGCTTTGTTTTGTTTTGTTTTGTTTTTTTTTCTATGTGCATAACAACTATAAAAGACAACCCAAGTTTTTACAGTCAGATGCATACTTATTATTTGGAACAAATTGCTAGTACACTTGATGAAAGTCTTATTTTTCAGTGTTATTGTTTCATGTTTCCTTAAATATGATGTTTGTGTGGCAAGAAGCAGGAGGCAAGATGTTTGAAATGTAACTTGTAAAGTTTTCAGTATCTTATGCTTTTTTTTTTGCACAACCAAGCACAGAAAAAAATGCCCAGAAAAACTTTATGAAGTTGTGGTTAATACACCAAGCACCGTGATTAAGATACCCATGAGTATTGTGTAGAATCAGATGCATGATCACAAAACAGAAGATTATGCAATATAAACTTACACCTAAAAGTAGATGTAATGTAGCATAACCACAATTATATGCTTCATTATTTTTTCTTATCAGTAAATGTTCAAAAACACAGAGTAGGGGTTCCTTTCTGTAAGAAGACTGCCTGAAATGAAACACACGAGTTGGAATTCAATTATCCTGGTGGATCCCCTCCAACTCAGAATAGTCTGTGATTTGCAGAGTCCCAGAGAAGGGCTCTCCAATGAGACAACACCTTATTTTAGTAAGTGTTGATTTCTAAGCAAGAGGGAGTAATTTGTGTCTCAACTGAAGCTTGTGAACAAATCTAAATAATTTAGGAAAGATTATTAATATACATACTAGAATGTGCATAGTGAGCAATTTAACCTCTTCTTCTTCAAAATGGTGTCCCGAATCTGTTAGGAGCATAATTATTGCTGCAATATCTGTCATGAAGTCTTACACCAATTTTCAAAAATTTGCAGCTAGCTGAAATGGAAAAAGTGTTCTCTTGAGTATTCAAAGATACACCTGTATGCAAAATATAACTTTTCAGTCTGCTACCACAGGGATTTTATTCTTAAAATCAAAATAATTACTTTATATGTAACTAGATGCTTGTCTACAAGAACAGAAAAAGATGAACCATTTGTTCTCAAACTTACAAGTATTTCTATTTGTCCTACAAGGAGAAATTGTGTTTGCATAATCTCAACTAAACAGAAATTTTCAGAGTGATCTTCAGAGAATAATTGACAGAATAAATTTTAAATGAAAACATTTATCTGCCTTAGTTATATCTGTCAGTAATACTTCAACTAGAGCTACATTCAGTGGTTCAGTTCAAAGTATTTCTCCCGCACTGTCTACCACAACACTGTCCATGACCTCCATTATGCCCTAAGTTTTGTGTAAATTTCTACAATATGTTAAATTTGCACAAAATTCATCAGTGTAGAGTAATACCATAACATTTTGTTCCAAAAATATTGACTCTGTTATTCATTCTTCATGATGCCTTCTTCCTGATGAATAAACAATCAGGAGAGACAGTAACTACATCAAGGAAAAGCGAGGATTATTTTTATGCACATATACAGATTAATTAATTTTTAAATGTAAATTAAGTTAATTTGTAGCCAATTTAAAAATTATTTTACCAGGAAAGATACTGAACGGAGAATAAGGAGACAATAGCTTATCATATCACTCAAGAGGCTTTGGCTTTTTATTGATATATATATATATATACTGGATTTTATGGTGTTTCTATAACAGACAAACAAGACGCAATTCCAGAATGCTTAATTTTACTGAGTTGTTGGTAACTTAAAATAAGTAATTAAATTGGAAACCTTTTAGACATAGTGCCACTTAAATCACAAAATCATATTATTAAATGTCTTCACCAGAGAGAAGAGAGATCCACTGTAACTGTTCAGCAGTTTGAACTAACTCATGGAAAATTAAATCTTCATTATGGTGAATATTAAATGACAGTTAAGTGACCTGAAGTCTATTTTTCAATCTCCTAATGTTACATGTACTTTGATTAGAATATAATGAAATATAATATTTTCATAATCAACCACTGGATTGTCTTGTCAATGGAAACAAAAGGGATTCTCACATAAACTAGAAAATTGTAAGTCCTATCTCCTCTATAGAGAAAATATAACCATGCCCCAACAATATGTCTTCCTTGGGAAAACTGGGCTATGAAACCATAGGCCATTTAAAGTCTTACCAGTATTAGTCCCTGTAAGACTTAATATTGATCTTCCTCGGCTCATCAATGACTAAATGATCTGGAAAAATTTCACTTTTTATTAAGTATGCGTAGGCTGTAAATTTGGGCACCTGTCTTTGCATTTGAGATAGAACTAACCTATAGCAGTTTTCTGAAGCATTTTCACTGAAAAACTGAAGAGCTTCTTGTTCTGTTTCTGTAAAGCACATCTGCCTCACACATTTAGATGTTGACAGCAAGTGACTGGTGAAGTTTCAATCTAGGTTTCATGGGAAAACCTCTGCTTCTTCGGATGTGATTGAATCTTGCAGTACTAGAAATTGAGAACTTAGAGTCTCTAAGAGTTGGCTAGTATGCCTTTTAATTTAGGTACTTGCAGCAGAGATATTTGAATGGCTCTTAATGTTCCTCTATCATATGAGATAGAATTACAAAATATCCTCAATATAGTCCTTATCATCTGATAAGGAATTTGATAGAATATGATTTTTTTCTATGTTTCTAGAATTATTTTTTTATGACTACATCAAGAAAAGTCTTTCATCTCGACTTGCCAGAATCTGATCGTCAGTATCACAGATTTTACACAAGTAAATTCTTAACTCTACCTGCTGGTTTCCATCATTACCTCTCTAAGATTTCTTCTAAGCAATACTGCAGGAGACCTAATAATGGTATGTAATCACATCTCTTCTTCAAGTGAATAATTGCTAGGTGTGAGACCACATTACAAAAAAGCATCATAGTTAAAGCAAGAAAAACATGGCAAAACTGAAATCATAGGACCTCTGAATTGTTTTATTACTGAGCAGTATAACAATTTTTTACCCATTCTTTGCAAATAGTCACATAGTGTCACACACTGTTAAGACATTTCTTTGGCAAATAGCTGTGTTTATGTTGTGAAAAGGGAAATTGGAATATGAATAGGTAATTACTGTGTCATTATTCACTTCTCTAGTATTGGACAGCTTGAAATATTTCAGATATTTTTCTGAGATTTATAAGGAGATAAGTCACATAAAATCAATAGCTACTGCTTTTCAGGAGCTCAGGCCATATCATTATTAATACGTTAGCCTTGTTAATATGTTACTTTAGAACATGTGTAAAACCACAGTTTCTGAGTGCTATATTCAATGATAGACCTGAACATCAGGTATAACTACTTGACTCCTTAGCAGTCATGATATGATTTAATTTTTACCAGATGCCAAGAAATTAATTGACACTAATTGCTGATCTGTTTTTTTTAAGGACTGTCAGTTCTGTTTGGAATGTTTTAACAACATGAACAGGCAAAAATAGCTCTGATATGGCTAAATAGAGGTTAAATTTATTTCCCAGTACTTTCATTTAAACTCTTACATGGTCAGTAAGTTGATTTGATATATATTTTTTTAAATTAAGGGGGAAAAATGCTCTAAAGCTCATTTTTGTATTCTGCTATGGTTTGCATTATATTGATGAGTCTGCTGTTTTGTCTTCAGCAATTAAAAGGTGCACACAAAAAGATAGGATCATGGTACAGCATAGCTGATTTTCATGTTCTCAGAGCACCTTTCAGACCAAAAAATTTATCATAAAATCAATGTTGTCACTAAGCTACATAATACAGAAGTGTGAATCAGTGGTCTGGAAATAGAGCAGAAATCATGCAGAGGCACAAAGTAATCATAGTCTTCCTAAAAGACACATGGTGAGATCCAGTTAGCTTAAATCACATGCAGGCTTTGGCTAACAGAATTGCTTCCAGTGATACTGAAAAACACCTTCTTTCTTGACTGTAGAGAAAGTG